TAGATGTTTTTTGTCATCTATCTAATATTAATGAGAGCATTAAATTATGGCGTGCATATAGTTTGTGCATATTTCATAAATATTGTGTTGTTGATAAGAGTTTGAAAATACGTATTTTGTTAGTGATTCAATTGGATTATATGTGGAAAAATGTGTTTTTATTGTGGAATTTGAGTTAATTATTTTATAAATACCTTTTATGAGATCATGGGGTGTATTTTGAGTATTTTTATGTTAAAAACGATATTTGAATAAAGAAGAATGATGTCGATAGAATTTGTGATGAGTAGGAACAAATGGTGCAGAATCAGAATTGAAACGAGAAAGTTGTGACACGTTGAAGATGAGACTTAAAACTTGGGAATTTTCCAAAATGAGCATGCTTTGATTTTTTTATCATAACTTGGTCTGTAGAAATCGGAATTCGATGATTCTTGTGGCGTTGGAAAGCTTATTCATATAGCTAAAAAGTTCATGTTCATGACTTTTCCAGATTCTGAAGATTCCAGACTCATGGGACAGAAAGGACGATCGCTGCAACAACCATTTCTGTTGCCGCAGCGATGGATTGCAGGCTTGTTTAGGTTATTATTTTCCTAGTCTGCATCTGAATGGTTTAAGACATTTAATTCTTTCCTAATAAACCTCCAAACTCTAACACTATAAATAAGGGTCTTTAATTAGGTTTTAGGGAGATTAGAGAAGGAGAAAGAGCAACTACTATTTTGGAGATCAGAATTCTTGCAGTTTTTGTTCACCAATTAGAGAAGTTTTTCTATTTTTATTTCTTGAACTCATGTTTGTTAATACAATGGTTGTTTTTATTACTACAATTATGAACTAAATTTCTTTTCTAAGGTTAAAGATGTAGCCCAATTTATGAATATGTGTTGACTTTATTGTTGTTAATTATAATTGACCATTAATCCTAAGTTTTACTATTGTGTGCAATGCTTTCAATTATTAAGGGCCCAAGAGTTGAATGATTTTCTGGGTTGGGTTGAGATAGCGAGATGAAACCTAATTAGTCTAAGGTAATAAAACCATAGATTGAGCGAATACTAGAGATAGGTTACATTTGTGAGGCTCTGGTAAATTCTATAAAACTTAATGATCTCTTAGCTTCTAAATCCACTTTAGAGATATTCTGAGTTATTGTTTAAGGGTTAATTCACTAATTGTTCGAGAGAAAGTTAGTGAAATATTAGGGAGTTTGGCCTTTAGAATATGCTTAATTAGGTTAGCAATAATTGTCAATGCATAGGATTAAATTGGTGTGAAATCCGTGCCATAGGTTTAGTCTTATTGATCTTTTTACCAAAGTATTAATACAATTTTGCTTTTGTCTACTTTTTAGTTTATTTTATTTTTCATTAATTCATTCTTAAAATTCTGTTTCATTAAATAGTAATAAAATAGACTAGTTTGGTACTTGGTAGGTAGTTCTCTTAGGATTCGACATTCGTTTACTCGAGCTTTACTACTTGTGCAATTTTGTACACTTGTGAATAACCTGTCAAGTTTTTGGCGTCGTTGTTGGGGAACTATTTTTTTACCAATATCAATATGAAATATTCAGTTGCTAATTTGATTTGTTTTATTTTTGCTTAGAAATTAATTTTTATTTTATTATGTTGTGTTTGTTTCTTTTATTGAGATCCAGGAGAGCTTACGTTCAAAAGGTGGTGGTGATCTTAATCCTTTTGATTCTGAAATTGAGAGAATGGCTAAACAGTTGAGGAAAGAAAAGAGGCAAGCTAACTTAGAAAAATCAATGGCTAACAAGGGAATTATAAATCTCAATGTGGAAAATCAAGAGAATGAGAATGACGATATCACAGGAGGCAATGCAACTGGTGGAGAAGTAGTGGTTCAAAAAGCATTGAAGGGCTACTCTAGTCCTACTATTGACGGGTGCTATTCTAGCATCAGGAGACCACTAGTTCAAGCAAATAATTTTGAGATCAAGCCATCAATTATTCAGATGATTCAGCAGTCAGTCCAATTCATAGGGTTGCCTAATGTGTTAGAGTAGGTGCCCTAGAGCAAATCAATTATTGTAAAATTGACTCTGTGATAATGTTTATTTATCAATAAAAGGTATATTCTTCTATATCATGTAAATCATAGTTATAGGTAATGATATATATCCTTAGGATGGTAGAACCATAATGAGGGTATCAAGTGTTTCAAATCTTGATAGTGACAACTCTATGATCACATATGGTGGCCGCTCTAGAAACGTCTATAGCCCTAGTATTATTTTAATCAAGGACACAGATAATACGGCAAGGCTATCATAGCGTTAAACGACCCTGTCAAAAGGTAGTAACTAATCTCAATTGTCAAGGTTGTTTGCCGACAACCTAGTGCAACGCATGGGTGCTTACTGGAGACAAGTTCACTAGACAGACCCACCAGAGGATTCCATATAGATTGTAACCCTAGTGTCTATGGAATAAATCCTCTAACGAATGGTGGTGCATGTGATCCTCAAACTTGAGATCACCGGAGCGTCTTGTGCACCGATTGGTGTAGTTTGACACTAGCCCAACGTAGTTCTGTTCAGGGCTATCAATACAGTATGGATTGGCTACATTGAGGAGTATATCAAGATTATGGTGGATCGACAAAGGATTCATCACTCCCCGAGTACAAGAGAAGTTATCTCATTGCGCAATTCAATAAATAGTAATGACACTAAATCTATAGCCACAGTGGGATTGAGTTGTTTCTTAATCCAATTTATTTATCCGATCATTGTCCAGTAACTGAATACAAAGATACTGAGGATAACTGAGGTTAACACTATTTTTGTATTTCAGCCTCGATGAGATAACAGATGATGAAATGATTTGATTGCACGGTAACCATATCGGTAGCTATTTCACTGAATCCGAATATATCGGGTGGCCATGATGCCTTGCTAAGGGTTAATCTTGTTCTGTGTGTAGTGAGACGATTAATTGGTGTTAATCGCGATACTACTCATTGTCGATATGATAATAAGCCTACGAGCACACACTTAGAAGATAATTTAAGAATCAGTTTGTGAAAGGGGTATTTTCGTCTTTTAGGATGAAAAAGTATTTTGGTAATCTTGAGGTTGTTGCCTGTATTTAATTTTAATATTAAAATTAAAATCAGTGGGATTATATTTTAATATATGTGTGCATGTAGTTAAATGAATCATTATTATTATTAAATGTTAATATATTTAATATATATATATATATATATTAATTGATTTTTAATTATAATAATAATTAATTAAAATTAAAATACAATAAAGGGTGTGTTTGGTTGCAAGGATGGATTAACATGAGAATCCATGGCTATTCCTATTGGGATTCGGGTTTTAATTAAGTGACACTATATATAAGTGAAACTTAATTAAAAAAATATACAACATTATTATTCATTGATTGAATAAACAAAAACCCTAGCCATCTTCACTCTCTCTCTCACGTTTTTCAAAGTATGAATCAAAGAATTCTTATTCTCTAATTTATTCGATTCTTGAAGCCTTATGTTTGCTCTAGCAAAACAATAGTCGGTTCTCCAGATTATCTGCATATGGATCATCGTTCGTGCGATTCTACTTTGAATCGAGAAGCGAAATCAAATCAGAGACGTTTGAAGAGCCTCCAAACATGCGTAAGTAAATTTGATCCTATATGGATTCGCTGTTATATTGTTTTAATTTAGTTTTTATGAACATGTAAGCATTATAATCTATACCCAGATTTTAGGATTAAGATTTTGATTGGATTTTGTTTTTGAATCTATTTTTTCGCTGCGTATATCTGGTCACTTGCTAACATAATGATAATCCCAACTTGCATATCACTAATTTTTTGGAGTTATGCGACACATTCAGGCATAATGGAGTAACTAATTATGCAATTAGGCTAAGGCTTTTCCCATTCTCTCTTCGAGATAAAGCTAAGGCTTGGTTGATTTCTTTGCCATCTGGGAGCATCATGACATGGAACGAGTTAGCTTAAGCGTTCCTCACTAAATATTTTCCACTTGCTAGGTTTGCCAAGCTGAGAAGTGAGATTACCAATTTCTATCAACAAGACTTGGAGTCATTGTATGAAGAATGGGAAAGGTATAAAGATCTCTTACGAAGGTGCCCTCACCATGGTTTGCCAATCTAGTCACAAGTGCAAACGTTCCACCAAGGGTTGCTGCCAAATATTCAAGCCATGATAGATGTTGCAAGCGCAGGAGCCTTGAACAACAAAACACTAGAGGAAGCATACAATTTGATTGAAGTGATGGCAAACAATAACTATATGAGAACTTCAGAGAGAACTTCAACAAGGAAATCAGCGGGAATGCACGAAGTTGACGGTTACACCACATTGGCTGCTCAACTTTAAAACATCCAGAAGCAATTAGGTAATATATTAAAGATAAATGCAATTGAATCCTCTTCTCTAACATGCAAACTTTGTGCAGGAAATCATTCATCCAAGGATTGTCAAAAAGGGAATCTGTTTGCTCAGCCTGAACAAGCTAATTATGTCAATAATTTCCAAAAGGGGCAAGGGAATCCATATTCTAACACATACAATCAAGCATGGAGGAAGCATCTGAACTTCTCGTGGAGCAACAACAATGAGCATAAACAACCTCCTGTTTTTCAAGCTCAAGAGCCGAAATCTAACTTTGAGAATGTGTTTACCAAGTTCATTGAAGAGACAAGTAAGAGGTTCGAAAAGAATGAAATCCTTGCCCAAAATTAGTCAAACTCTATTAGAAACCTTGAGACTCAAGTGGGGCAGAGCCATAACATATTAGCAGGAAAAGTTCAAGGAGTTTTGCCGAGCGATACAGAGAAAAATCCTAAGGAACAAGCGCATGCAATCACCTTGAAGACTGGAAGAACCTTGGAGAATTCAAAGGATGAAAAACAGAAGCAAGAACTATAGAAAGATCTGAAGGAAAAGCAAAAGAATGATCACCGCGATTGCCGCGGTGAGCGTGAAAATATGGAGAATATCGTCAGCATGAAGGACGATCATCGCGGCAATGAACTTGGTGGCCGCTGCGATCATGAATTAGCTCCCACTTTGTTAGAAGTTCACACTCATTGCCACGGGAAAGAAAGTGGTGGTTGTGGCGAGGGTGAATCTGAGCAGAAAGCTTCTTCAAATCATGCAAACTTTCCGTACCCACACAGTCTAAAGAATCAGAAGTTTAACAAGCAATTCGGTAAGTTTATCGATATGTTTCAAAGTTTGCACATTAATATCCATTTTGTTGATATGTTAGAACAGATGCCGAAATATGTTAAGTTTCTGAAGGAGATCCTCATACACAAGAGAAAATTTGAGGAACATGAGAAAGTCATGTTAACAGAGGAATGCAGTGCACTGATTCAAAAGAAACTACCACTTAAACGACGAGATCCATGGAGTTTTACTATCTCTTTATTATTGGTAGTTGTTATTTTGATAAGGTTTTATATGATTTAGAGGCAAGTATAATTTTAATGTCGTTTTCTATTTACAGGAAACTTTGATTAGGAGAAGTGAAGCCAACCATCGTGTCTCTCCAATTAACTGATCAATCAATAACATATCTGGGAGGTAGTAGAAGACGTCTTGATTAAAGTAGACAAACTGATTTTCTCAGTAGATTTCATAGTGTTGGACATGGAGGAAGATTAGGAAACACCTTTAATTTTTGGACAACCTTTTCTAGCCACGGGTCGAACATTGATAGATGTCCACCAAGAGAAATTAATCTTAAGGGTAGAAGACGAGTAAGTAGAGTTTGATGTTTTTGACTGCATGACGCATCCATTTTGAAATAGACACACGTTTTGAGATTAATGTCCTCAACAACATAATAGAGGATAATTTTGAAGAAAACTACCCCATCTCCCCCTTAGAGAATTGCTTGATGAATTCTAAAAATCAGAAGGATGAAGTTGATAGTGAAGAGATAAGAGAGTGTTTAAGGTACTTAAATGCTCTACCACCATTAATTCGTCTTGAAGCTAAAACAATCAGAGAAGTTAGAGCTGCGGTATCTTAGTCCACTTCACCAATCGACAAGCCACCTACACTTGAGCTCAAGCAACTACCATCTCATTTAAGGTATGTATTCTTAGAAGAGAATATTTTTTTTCCAGACATTATTAATGCTTCTTTGAATGTTATAGAGGAAGAAAAGTTGTTGTGCATATTGAGGAAATACAAAAAGGCCATTGGATGGACAATTGCAAATATAAAGGGTATAAGTCCCTCAATTTGCACACACAAAATCCTAATGGAGGAGAGCTTTAAGCCTACCATCCAACCACAAAGAATATTGAACCCATCAATGCAAGAAGTGGTCAAGAATGAGGTATTGAAGCTCTTAGATGCAGGAAATATATATTCAATTTCGGATAGTGCATGGGTAAGTCCAATCCAAGTAATACCAAAGAAGGGAGAAATGACTGTGGTCCGTAACGATAACAACGAGCTAATTCCAACACGAATAGTCAAGGGATAGAGAGTACATATTGACTATCGCAAACTAAACTCCATAACTCATAAGGACCACTTTCCGTTGTCATTCATCAATCAAATGTTAGAGAGGTTAACTAGCCATGAGTTCTATTGTTTTCTAACGGATATTCAATGTAAAACCCCTCCTTAGTCAGGTACCCGCTGAATATCCCTTAATAAAAATCCAGAGAATTTATGTCTGGGGAACGAGTCGTATTTAGAAAACATGTGCAAGGATAATGATGATGTCCAAAACATTACTATGAAATGTACTGCAGGATCAAGATTTGTACCTTCAAAAATAAAATAAAAATAAAAACTGGAATTTATTTGGGCATCAATCAATCAAAACATATTAATGCCATTTTCATTCATATGGTGGAAGCTTTAAAAAGGTGTTTCAAAAATATTTGTCATTTACATCAAGATAAAACATCAGGATGACAATAAATTATCTCCCCTCACGCATAGCCTTGCTGTCTCCAACATCCTTCACTTTTGGAATACCTATAAAAAATTCAACCATGAAAGGGTGACTGCTAATCGCTCAGTAAGGAATGATCCATTTAATACCAAGTATGTTATTTGACATTCATTCACATACCACACCTCTTTTGCATCAAAATATGGTTCCTTTTCTTTACTAACTCATATACTTTTCATCATCTTCCCCATTGTAACACCTACTGAAAACTAGTACAATGCATGCATAATAACAATAGAAAATTGGGCCCAAAGTTTTCTTTTCATTACAATTCATGTGTCTTTTATACATAAAGAGTACTGTTTACAAAAATGTATTTTAAAAGACAAAACAGGGGAACAGTGTAGCTATTGCTCCTCGCTTGCCGACGCCCCTCCGACCGCATCAACACCTAGAACCTGCATCCACAAAGGAAAATAACGGGGTGAGCACAATTAATGCTCAGTAAGTAAAACTCTCTAACTGTCTGTCCCCGTGTGAAACTCTTAATTCTTTCCTTTTTCTAATTCTGTTTCTGTTTCTAATAACATCATGGCCTTATCTTACCGGAGGTACGGCCGGATGGCATTCACACAGACCATCTCACTCTCTATGGCTATCGGGTGGAATTCACACAGTACAAACCCGTTCTTAGTGACTACCGAGTGAGGATCACAAAGCACCAACTCGGATTCCTCCTAACTATCGGGTGGAGATCACCTAGCACCTACCCGTTCCTCATGAATTTTGGGTAACGATCACCAAGCATTTACCCGTCTCTAGTCACTATCGGGTGATAATCACAAAGCATCAACCCGCTTCTACTAGCCGTTGGATGAGGATCACAAAGCATCAACCCACTTCTCTAATAGCTATTCGGATGATGATCACAAAGCATCAATCCGATTCCCATAACGGTCGGGTGATGATCACAAAGCATCATCCCAACTATACTACTCTTCTAATTCATTCTATTGTAGCATTTTTTTAATGCTCTCTACCCTTAGAGTAATTGTGCCCACTAAGCTTTCTACTCAGAGAGTAATTGCATACACAATTTTCCTACACTTTCTTAGGTCACTTTTCCATGTACAATTAGTGCCTATGGATGGTTCAACTTCACCAATGCACTTATGAGATGCCAACATGCAATGTTGCAAGAATTAAGGTTCATTACTCACACTCAAACCTCTATTAGGCATTTCATCAAACAACTCATGTGCACTATAAAACTCTATCATAGCCATGAATCTAAAACTTTTCCTAACCATCCAAAATGGGGAAAAACCCCTTCACAAAGCCAAAAAAACAAAAAAAAAAAAAAAATACAAAAAAGGGATCCATAACACCCATTCAAATCCATCTCAACTACCTAACAAAACCAACAACCCATTTCTCATATTTGCAAAGTATTAACATTCACAAAGCATAGAAATCTCTATTTAAACCTCCATACATGGCATATCACATGTACATCACATACATACATCATTTCCATCAAAACCCTAATCAAGAAAACTCATAAATCTCAACTTGGGTTGGGTTTTACTTACTTGTTATGGAGAGACTTCACCAACTTTTCCTTTCACTTGATTAGCTTGACTTTTCCTCTAATCTTAACCAAAAGAATGAAAACCCTCAAACTTCAATAAGGGATAAAACTCTCAAATCACACAACTTAAGTAGAAATCCTTACCTTAGGAAGCCTTAGGTTGCTTTTTCTACCCCAAATCACTTCAAAATCCCTTGGAAAACCTTGATCAAAAGAAAAGAGAAGTTGAGAGGAGAAGAATGAAGAGTTGCGTTTGAGAAGAAGAGAAATGAGGGTTTGCTAACTCTTAATTCCTTTTAATGAAATATAAACACAATCATTCCCATTTTGCCCTTATTCTTCTTTGAAAATTCCATCCATATCCTTTGATTCATTACAAACTCACCCCCATATCAACATATTCTCCATGAAAAATCCTTACAATTCACTCCCCACTTTTCCTGCTAATTAGGGGTAGAATGGTCAAATAGCCCTTGGGGAAGAAAATGTCTAAAACTCACTCAACATTTTATTCGGCCTGTCGCCGTGGCGAAGAAACTTCTGTCGCCGCGGCGAAACTGTCCAGAGAGTTTCCCTTGGTTTCAACACATCTTCGCCGCGGCGAAGATTCTTCTTCGCCCCGGCGAAGCTTGGTACACTCAAATTCTACTATTTTCAATCAATTTCAGGGCAAACATTCAATCAAACAATATTACCAAAACCAATTTCAAATAAGAGCGGAAGAGGAAACAATAACAACGTACCTCAAGTGGGGGGTTACACCCATGGTCATATAAAACATCAAGTGTACACATACAAATAAGTATGTAAACATAGTGCACACACATCACATGTCATAACATAACATCTAAATATCATCTAACATGAGTACAAATCATCTCATGATGTAAATAACATCATAACTCATGTAATGCAACTAAATGCATATGAATCTTTAACGTCTAGTCGATCGGACTTTTCTTAGCCTCTTAAGCACTTCATCTCATCTAGCCTCAAATTCATCTAGAGCTCATATCATCGGGAGGCATGCTTATGTGTTATTTAGCATCTAAAGCATATATTTATCTTTTCTCTCATCTAGCCTCAAATTCATCTAGAGCTCATATCATCGGGAGGCATGCTTATGTGTTATTTAGCATCTAAAGCATATATTCATCTTTCCTTTCATCTAACCTCAAATTCATCTAGAGCTCAATCATCGGGAGGCGTGCTTACACGTTATTTAGCATCTAAAGCATATATTCATCTTTCCTTAACCAAAATACGAGGATATGCTTATGCGTTAATTAGCATCTAAAGCATATATTCATCTTTCCTCTCATCTAGCCTCAAATTCATCTAGAGCTCATATCATTGAGGGGCATGCTTACGCGTTATTTAGCATCTAAAGCATATATTCATTTTTCCTCAACCGGTATACGAGGATATGCTTACGCGTTTTCCATCCTAGCTGTATGCATCTCTAACATTTTATAGCATGTAAATACATGTTTTAGTGAGCTTAATACTTTTGATTACATTACCTCTTGCTCATATTCATCATCTTGAAACATATATTACATTGCATCTTCATGCCATTTCATAATATTAATCATGCATTCGCATCCATGACCATGTATGTCTTTCAAAGATCATCTAACTAATAGGTAAACATTAGTACATTACTTAATTGCAACAATACATTAATAATCAATTCATAATCATAAGAATTGATTATGTTAAACCTCAAACTTTAATAACCAGAAGTTTATTCTTCAGACCATTTTCCATCCATTTATCAAACGAATTGGCCCTTAGCATAAGCATAATTGTTATAGCTCTATATCTTAACTTTCTAATGCTTCAAGAATCATCTCATTTTGATTTTTATAACTCAAGTTATGGTCGAAATACTGAAGCATGTTTACCATAACCCCTAAAATTGCCAAATCCAAATTTTCAATATTAAACCGTGCCATATCAAATTCTATTGACAATCAACAAATAAGTCCACTTATGGATCAATTAAACCTCCCCTTAATAGTCTTTAACATTTTAAAATATGTATAAAACCTCATTCCCATGATCATCCATTATTGCTATAACATTGTAAATTAATGCAAACAACGCATCAACACTTCTAATAGCAACCATTCAACACCATGTGGCCTCCAATACTCCAAGTTTTGCCTAATCAACATCAATACTTCATTTTCTTCAATTAAACACAACAACTCATAAAACATAAATGGCAATAACTTCATGTATAATGAATTCAATGTAATAAATAACATTAATGAGTTCAACTACACTTGCCATCAACTAATTCTATGCCTTAAAGCCTTAATTTAAGGTTTCATTAAAATCTACAAACCCTAGCATAATTCCTAAAGTCATGGGAGGTTTTTCCTTACCTCTTTAAAGAATTCCCCCACCAAATCCTTTGCCTTTATCTTCTTTTACACCTTAATCCTTAAACCCTTCAATTTGAAGATCCAAGGCTCCTATCTTGTTCTCCTTGGAAAATTATGCAAAACTCCTTTAAAACTTAGAGAGAGAAAGCTTGTTTCATGGAAGATTTGAGAGAAAATGGAAGAAAGGTTGAAGAAATGATATCTCTTTTGGGTTGAACAAATTTCCTCTCATTTATAGAAAAATATTTCGTTAATTTTTCAAAATTATGCTATTGGCCCAATTATTTTAATTGTATAACTCATAAGTCCTTAATTCTTCATATAAGGGCATTTTGGTTATTTGGCACTAAACATAATTATTACTTAATTAATGTCATTAAATGCAATGAAGCTTACTCATCCTTGACCTTTGCAATGCTAATCCATATGCAAAATGACTATTTTACCCCTAATACCCTTTTATGGATAATTGATACATATCATTCCGAATGAATTGACTATTTTTCCCTTTGTTAGATTTTATGTTTTTTTAACATAAAATCAACATCTAAAGGACTATTTTGAGTTAGGAACATACCTTTGACATCTTAGGTATTACATTCAAGCTACGATCAAATTGCTATGGCGCCAGAAGATCAAGAGAAAACTACTTTCACATGCCCATATGGAACATTCGCCTACCGAAGAATGCCTTTTGGCTTGTGCAACGCTCCTGCAACTTTTCAACATTGCATAATTTCAAATTTCTCTAATATGGTTAAGAAGTCCATTGAAGTTTTCAGGGACGACTTTTCTGTTTTTGGTGATTCTTTTGATGATTGTTTAACTAACCTATCTAATGTTTTGCAAAGATGTGTTGATACTAACCTAGTGTTAAATTGGGAAAAGTGTCATTTTATGGTACAAGATGAAATTGTGTTAGGTTATCGCATATCCGCGAATGGAATTGAGGTAGATCAAGCAAAGATTGAAGTCATTAAGAAACTATCACCTCCGAATTCAGTGAAGGCTGTCAAAAGTTTACTTGGACATGTGGGTTTTTATAAGAGATTCATACAGGACTTTTCTAAAATCTCTAAACCTCTCTGTGATTTATTAGCTAAGGATGTTCCTTTTAATTTTAGTTAAGAGTGTTTAGATGCATTTGAATGTTTAAAAGCAAAATTAATCTCTGCTCCTATTATTGTTGTGCCCGATTGGGAACTACCTTTTGAACTCATGTGTGATGAAAGTGATTATGCTATAGGGGCTGTTTTAGGATAGTGAAAAGGTAAGACTTTCCATATGATTTATTATGCAAGTAAGACTCTAACAGGACCACAATTAAACTATGCCACTACTAAAAAAGAAATTTTAGCAGTAGTATTCTCTATTGATAAATTTTGTTCTCATTTGCTAGGCACCAAAGTTATTGCATACATGACCATGTTGCATTGAAGTTTCCAAGCCAAGATTGTTGTGATGGTTATTGCTCTTACAAGAATTCGACTTGGAAATCAAGGACAATAAAGAAACAAAAAATCAAGTGGCTGATCATCTATCTCGATTAGAGCCAATGAAGAAGTTCAAGAGGAAGAGAAGCCAATCAACAAGTACTTTCCAAATGAGCAATTATTTTCCATTCAAGAAGGATCGTGGTTCACAGATATTGCTAATTATTTGGCATAGAAAGTTATGTCCCTTGGAATGAACTCCCAAAGACAAAAGAATTTTTTTGCAGATTTAAAGTACTACTTTTGGGAGGACCCATTTTTGTACAAGCATTGCGCCGATCAAATGATAAGAAGATTTGTGATAGAGGAAGAGATGATGATTGTCATTCAATGGAAGTTGGCGGCCAGTTTGGTTCAACAAAGACCGCTGCTAAAGTTCTCCAATCAGGATTTTTCTGGCCCACTCTTTTTAAAGATGCTTTAAATTTTGTTATGAGTTGTGATGAATGTCAACAAGTTGGGAATATATCTAGGAGAAATTTCATGCCTCTAAATAATATCCTAGAAGTAGAATTGTTTGATGTGTGAGACATAGATTTTATGGGACCTTTTCCTTCCTCGTATTCTAAACGTTTTATTTTGGTTGCTATAAATTATGTTTCAAAGTGGGTGAAAGCTACAACATTGCCAACAAATGATGCTTGCGAGGTTGTCAAGTTTGTAAAGAAGAATACATTCTCAAGGTTTGGCACACCAAGGGCCATTATCAGTGATGGAGGTTCTCATTTTTTAATCACCAATTCGCGACATTGTTAAGCAAATATGGGGTTACACATCGCATTGCTACTCCGTATAACCGTCAAACCAGTGGCCAAGTTAAAGTGTCCAATAGGGAGCTGAAACTGATCTTGGAAAAGATGTTAAGCACTTCTCAAAAGAATTGGGAAACCAAGCTTGATGATGCATTATGGGTGTATAGGACAGCATTCAAAACACCCATAAGAATGTCGCCCTATAGGATGGTTTATGGAAAAGCTTATCACTTGCCAGTAAAGTTTAAACATAGGTCATATTGGACAATGAAGTTTTTGAACTTCGCTCTACAAGCGGCAGGAGCAAAACGATTACTGCAACTCAATGAGATGGAAGAATTCCGGAATAATGCATATGAGAATGCCCAAATCTACAAAGAAAAGACTAAGCAATGGCATGACAAACATGAGAATGCCCGAATCTACAAAGAAAAGACTAAGCAATGGCATGACAAACATATCGTGAACAAGGAATTCAAGGAGGGGGACAAAATGTTATTTTTTAACTCAAGACTATGACTTTTCCCAGGAAAATTACGCTCAAGATGGTCTAGACCATTCATTGTTCATCACGTTTTTCCGCATGGGGCAATAGAGGTTCACCACCCGACAAAGGAAACATTCAAAGTAAATGGCCAAAGATTGAAACCTTATATTGAGAATGGAAATGAAGATGAGAGGGTTTCAATCTTCCCTCAAAATCCTCATTGACGACAAATAGGAGTCGAGCTTAAGACTTTAAACAAGTTCTCCTTGGGAAGCAACCCAAGATTTTAATTTCGTTTTAATTTTAGTTCTTAAATTTTTAGTTTTTTTTATTTATTTACAATTTTTGTATTTTTTTTTTATTGATCAATTTTATTTCTTTTAGACTTAGATAATTGATTTTTTTTTTTTCAGATAATAGTAGATCACATTCAGCATTACCTAGACACTACAAAATCACGATCGTTGCAACCAAAAATTCCATCGCCGCACGGTCAAAAATCAAACGAGGAGAACAACACTCTCTGCGGTGACTTGTTATGTAGCTGTAGCGAGCGTTAATCAACGACACAACTCGATAAAGAAGTACGGTTGCCGCAGTGACTACACCACATCACCGCAACCAGCACACATTTTAAACACAAATTCGCATTTATTTGTGCGAATTTCTACAGAACCAACACTTCTAATTTTCTCTCAAACTCTCCTTTACTCCCTTTTGCGTCTAACCACCAGCCTATCATCCTCACCTTCTTTCTTTTCCACTTTATCTCCATTAATCTCTCACTAACACCTCTCTATCAACTCATATTTTGCAAATTCTCCAAAAGTTCAAGGTTAAGGTTTCAAAATTAGGGGTTTTTCGAAATTGAGCCCATCCACACAAATTCAAGGCAAGTTTGCGTAGAATCTGGTTCAAGTAAATGATTTTTCACCCATTTTGCATACAATTGTTGATTATTGCGGGTTGATTGAATTATTAGCTTTATTGGGGAGCAATTGTTGTGATTGAGAAGTTGTGTGACTGAGATTGGGTGTTGTGATAAGAGGCCTAATTAAGTTGTTTATAATTTGGGTGTTGTGTGATTGAAATTGGGTGCTGTGATTGTAGAATTTGATTGATTGATTGAATTGTTTAAGTGGGGGGTTTTTGTGACACCCAAGAGAAAGCCAGGAGGAGATAAGAGAGAAAAAGGAAAAGGGCAAGCCTCCAATGATGTCCAATTTGTTAGTCAGACTGCCAAGGAGAGATATGAAAATTTTGCAAAGAAACCAGAAGGGTTTATTGAAGAAAGAGGGCTGGTGTTTACAGAAAAATTTAGGGGGATTTACGATATCATTCTAGCTTTGGGTTGGCAGACATTCTGCAAAGAACCTCAGGCTTCTACTATTGCCTCTATAGTAAAAGATTTTTATGCCAACATTGCTAATAACATTGACGGAAGGACAATCGTGAGAGGTAAAGAAGTAGTTTTTATTGCAGCCACCATAAATGAGTTTTAGGAGCTGCTGCAAGTTGAAGTAGATGAGGATGCCTACGTAACATAGAAGCAGAAAGTAGATTATGATGCAATGATTAATTTTCTGACGGAAGGGAAAGCTACATGGTTTATTACAGCTAGGGAACACATCCGTTTTGAAAGTAAGTTTTTGGACTCAATTTTGTTAAGCACGGTTAGCAAAGTTAGGGCAATTTTGATGTACGCTATCCACCACAAGATAAGGATGAATGTGGGCGAGATTATTTTTCATGAGATTCTCCATTCGACAAAGCGTAATAAGACAAGTTTTTACTTCCCTCAATTGATCACCGAATTATGTAAGCAAGCTCTGGTGCTTTTGAATTTTGAAGAAGTGTTAATCCCACAAGGAGCGTGTCTTACAAAGCAATTTCTGTAAGATCTCACTAGCGGGAGCAAAGTGAAAGGATCCAAGACCAAAGCATCTTCATCGAAGAAGCCATCCAAGAAAGATCAATTGATGAAGATGAATGAGGATATAGATAAGTTGAGAAAGTAATAGAATCGTCAAGAAGCCTGGATGACTTGGATGAGTGGGCAAATGAGGGTGCAATATGAGATGCAACGATTGCAACGTGATCATGTTGAGATAGTTGCGCCAGAGTGTGAATGGACTGATTTTGCGTATCCATCGGATGAGGGGGATGGCGACACTTCTCATGATGATTCTGAGGAGAGTACGGAGGAGTAATGGGTGTGTCACTGCTAGAGACCTAGAGTTTTATTTTGTTGTGTTTTGTTTGTTGTTTATTTTCAATGTTAGTTTGTTTCCTTTTTCTGTACTTGCATTTTATTGATGTTTGTGTTAGTTCTATCTTTGTGAATTGTTTAAACGTTTATTTCAGTATTATTTATGGTTTGTTGATGTTCTTTATATCCATTTATTTTTCTGCATAACAATAGTGGCCGACAAGGTCCTTTTAGTTGTGATTTTGATAGAACAATTTTGGCACACATGGACACAACGAATTGGACAGCTTTGCACCATTAGGACTGTGGCAACGTTTTTCTTTCTTTTCTCCTTCTCTTAACATTGAGGACAATGTTGTTTTTAAAGTTGGGGGTAGAAATCTAACTTTTTTAGTAGAATTTTGTTTCTCTTGGATTAATTTATATGTCTATGATAGGAATATGATTGCAATAACATGTAACAAATAGAGGACATTAATTTTTGCCTTTAATTACAGATGATTGTGAATGTTAATAACATTTAGTTTAAGACCCTAGCGGTTTGTGGATTGGAAATGAATAAGTTGACTCACTTAGAGACGTTTTATGTGTGAAGTTTTCATGGACATTTTTGCGATCTCAATAAACTCTATAACTCATTTGACAACCACTCGAGGTGAAATCCTAGAGTTCACATTGCCTAGGAAATGATTTAGGCTGTATTTTTGGACTGATTGAGCCTTTCAAGCCAACCCTTTTTATTATCATCGCTAGTTAACCCTTTGAGCCTTTTTAAATTTAGACTTGTTTTTCTTTCTTTGAACTTAATTTTTACCCAACCCTGATTATGAGCCTAAAACACAATTCTACTTGTTTTATCTTTAAGAGACTTAATTGTAATTCAAGCTTATTACGAGTGTTGGTGAGGAAGTGTAGTTCTGCTACAACCCAAGTTCATGCAAAGAAATATGTTGGGTTGTGGAGTGCTTGTAAGATCAATGGGGTTGTGTGTGTGTGTGTGTGTGTTCTACTTTCTTCTTATTATTGTTGTGAAAAAAAAACTAAAAAAAAAAAGAAAAAAAAGAAAAGTGGGCATTGAAAAGCATTGTGACGGTGTGAGATTATGCAAATGGGTATACATTATTGTTGAAAAGAAAGAGCTCGATAAAGGTTGGGAAGCTACTAAGTGAAAAAGGGAAGTGTTTTTGTATGATAATAATAAGAATGAATGAAGATTAAGTCTCTTAATTTGATTTTTGTTAAATTCCCTTTTCGTTCTTTCATGAACCCATACCTTGGCCTAATGTTACAATCTTTACAAAGCCCTATTGATCTAAAGAAGTGTGAAGTTCTACATTAGTGGAGAGTGGTTTGAAAAGTGAGCCTGTAGAGTTTGATTCCATGATTCACCTGTAAGTCATAACCCGAATACTGAGATCAAAATTTTGTTCATGAATGTTATGCATAAAACCATCTGGGTTTGTAGACTAATGGTTTGTGGTTGTATGGATATTCTAGGGTTGATAACAAAAATGGAATTGACGTTTGCATTGTTTGTGAGCTTAGGCGATTTCTAATTATTCTATTTGTTTTGTGTATATGCGATTTTTAAGACAAGTTTATGAATTGATCCAAGAATTTTTGTTACTTTTTGTTCTTTTTATGTTTATTTATATTTTTGGAGTCTAGGTTAGGTTTAGTGTGGATGTTTATGGGTGTCATCGCTGGAAACCCTCACGAGACTACAACTCGTCCAACTAGGGCCGCCTAGGGGTTTAAAAGCTTGTTGCATACGCAAAATACAATCGTGTCAATCTACGAAAATGATTTAAGATAGTTTAGATATAGGTTTTATTTGGTTGTTTTATTTTCAAGCTTAGAGACTTGTTTTATCGCTTAGTTTGCTAGGGACTAGCAAGAAGCTGGTTGGAGGTTGTGATAAGAGCTTGAAAATACATATTTTGTTAGTGATTCAATTGGATTATTTGTGGAAAAATGCGTTTTTATTGTAGAATTTTAGTTAATTATTTCATAAATACCTTTTATGGGATCACGGGGTGTATTTTGAGTATTTTTAGGTTAAAACCGATATTTGAATAAAGAAGAATGATGTAGATAGAATTCGTGACAAGCAGGAACAAACAGTGCAAGAATCGGAATGGAAACAAGAAAGTTGTTACACGTGGAAGTGAGATTTAAAACCTGGGAATTTGTCAAGATGAGCATGTCTCGATGTTTTTATCATAACATTGAGCTATATAAATCAAAATTCAATGATTCTTGTGATGTTGGAAAGCTTATTTAGAGAGCTACAAAGTTCATGTTGATGACTTCGCCAGATTATGAGGATTCCAGACTCGTGGGACAGAAAGGATGATCGTCACAGCGACCGTTTCTATTGCCGCAGCGATGGATTGCGGGCTTGTTTGGGTTATTTTATTTTCCTAGTTCGAATTTGAATGGTTTAAGGCATTTAATTCTTTCCTAATAAACCTCCAAAACCCTAACACTATAAATACGGGTCTTTAATTACTTTTTAGGGAGATCAGAGAAGGAGAAAGAGCAACTACTATTTTGGAGATCATAATTCTTGCAGTTTTTGTTCATCAATTAGAAAAGTTTTTCTATTTTTCTTTCTTGAACTCATGTTTGTTAATACAATGGTTGTTTTTATTACTACAATTATGAACTAAATATCTTTTCTAGGGCTAAAGATGTATCCCAATTTATGAAGATATGTTGACTTTATTGTTGTTAATTTTAATTGAGCATTAATTCTAAGTTTTATTATTGTATGTAATATATTCAATTCTTAAAAGCCCAAGAGTTCATTGATTTTATGGGTTGGGTTGAGATCGAGAGATAAAACCTGATTAGTCTAAGGTAATAAAATCATAGATTGAGCGAACGCTAGAGATAGGTTACCGTGCTCTGTGAGACTCTGGTAAATTCTATAAAACTTAATGATCTCTTAGCTTCTAAATCAACTTTAGAATATTTTGGATTGTTGTTTAAGGGTTAATTCGCTAATTGTTCGAGAGAAAGTTAGTGAAATATTAGGGAGTTTGGCCTTTAGAATAAATTTAATTAGGTTAGCAATAATTGTCAATATATAAGATTATATTGGTGAGAAATTTATGCCCTATGTTTAGTCTTATTGATCTTTTAACCAAAATATATATTAATACAATTCTATTTTTGTCTACTTTTTAGTTTGTTTTATTTTTCATTAATTTATTCTTAAAACTCTAGACTAGTTTAGTACTTGATAAGTAGTTTTATTAGGATTTGACACTCGTTTACTCGAGCTTTACTATTTACTCGATTTCGTATACTTGCGAATAGCTTGTCAGTTATAAAAAATAAATTTTTGATACATATCATATTCCCTCATTAATGATTAAAGTATTTAAAAAGCTTTTAACAACATATAACTTACTAACTTGGGTGATATTTTGATATCATTTTTTTCAAAAATAATTTTTATATATGCACTAAAATGATTAATATCTAACTCGATCTAAGTTAATTATACAAATTCACATTAACCAAACTTAAATTGTGTGTCTATGGCTATTTAAGAAATATAATTGGTATGAAATTGATAATTAAAATTGATAATATTATCATTTATATGACACTTTTTTTATTATTATTATTATTATTATTATTATTATTATTATTATTATTATTATTATTATTATATAATCAATAAAAAGATATCTTTCAACAATAAAAATTAAATATAAAATATGGTTGAAGAGAAGGAATCATTAATTAGATGCAATAATTAGATAGCTTAAAAAATAATTAGATATTGTTGTATTATGAGTTTGTTACAATAATACATTATTTTTATTTATAATTTATTCATAATTTTCAATTATTGAATTTTTTTATCCAAAAATTATCAATAATAATTTATTTGTATGCATGAGTTTATAGAAATAATATGTCTGATACGTTAACAAATACCAATATAAAATGGTGCATTTTTATTATTTTGTATATTTATTATTCATATTAAAAAGGAATTATAAATTTATAATGTTATCTTTGTTCAAATATTGGATTAATTAACGAATTGGATATCAATTAATGCATAAAACAATTGATATATATAGAGAAACACTAAATACATAGACAAAAATTAATCAACAAAGTTGATCAGTTAACACAATGCAACACTTTCATTTATATGGTTTTAAACCATTTAATAATTTGTATTAATTATTATTATTCAATTCAATTAACATTAATCACTTCACTTAATTAATTAATTAATCCATCTTCAAACCACAAAATAATAATCAAACCAAATCATCAAACACCATATTACACGTACAATAACAACTATTTTTCATACCCCCAAAAGTTCATCTCCCCCCGCAAAGAAAGCTGATTAATTTGATGACTTGCATCTTCAAATCTCACCCCTTTCGTCGTGGAATCGTCAGAAACCAACCGGTCGAGCATTGTCCAATCGGTCAAGCCGCCTTGATCATCTCTCGCCGCCACAACCATATGATGAGGTGTGGGTTCACAAGTCCCAACTTCTAGCCCCGGCTCACAACTTTGGTGGTGATGGTACCTAAGGCTCTCATTGCCACTCTCGCCACCATCGCGACTAGGGTTTGACATGAGTTGCTTCACCATCGGCGAGTCCGAGGGGAGATTTGAGAAGTTTGGGACTAGGGTTTGGGACTGGAAAAGAGAGTATTGAGGAGGTGTGGGGATGGGGTAATGTAGGGCTAGTTCAGCTGGCTTGTTGAGTTCAAATGATTGTTGTTGATTGTGGTGTTGGCGAATTAGGTATTGGCTTTCTCTGTGGATGAAACGAGAGTGATTAGGGTTTGATGAATTGTTGAGTTGATGATGATGGTGATCAGAGGACGATGAGTTCATGTTTGAGTTTTCGTTCCCGACTTTGAATAAGTTCTTCTTCTTGAACACCCTGCATACCACCCACCCATCTTCCTGCAAACCAAATTTTTTTTTTTTTTTAACGTATGTATGAAGAACATATACTAAGACATCTGAAAATATTGACAAAACTATTTTTCAATTTTAATACCTAAATGATATTGAGAAGATTATAATAATTGTTAATAGCAATAGCATAATAAAAATAATATTAGATATACAAAGTAACATGAATAAAGTAAATTAGTAAGCATATATTTTTAATTTATTGAAAAATATTAACTTAAATGCCATCTAGAAGATTAATTATAATAACATCAGAGTACAAGGCTCAATCAATATAAGTTTAATTTTGTATTAGTTTTCGGAATATGATCAAACAGAAAATTCAATGTTTTATAGTAAAAAATTGTGAATAAAGAATGTCTCATCAAGGGAAAACTGCTCTCTATCTTTTCTTGCGCATAAAAATGTGATATATTAAATTGCTTTATTATTCAAATATACATGAAACTATTTATTTGGAATGGCTTTTTCTATCAATAGAATCTTCTACCCTCGTTATATCTCGTAACATAACATATTTTACTTAAGCGATTATTATATAAACCACGTGATTAATCATTTAATTAAATAATTAATTAGTTAAGAGAGACTACTCACATTGAGGTTTCCTTGAGCATCATCACCATCTTCAAGTCGATATTCATGCATGATCCAATCAGTTTTCTGGCCATGGGGAGCTCTTCCTCTGTAGAAAACTAGGGTTTTCCTCATTCCAATTTTCTTGTAGCTGTTTCTTATGCACTTGTCTCTCCCAGTTGCCTTCCAAAATCCGGCGTTCGTTGCTCGGTTCGTTCTCGATCCCGTCGGGTACTTCCTGTCCTTGTGACTGAAAAAATACCACTCGTTTTGTGGCGTGGATCCAATCTTGCATCTCTCTGCACATTCATACCAAGAAAAATATGTTGAACCAAAATCCTAATTCATATGCAATTTTTGAAGCATTTTGTTGAATAACATAATTAAATTTCTACCTTTAAAAAGAGATTAAATTAATATTCTTCTAATTATATAATAGAAAAATCGAAGAGAACAATATATTGTAGTTATGCTTCTTAATTCTGAGGCATAGGATGGTTAATTAATTTAATGTTCAGGAGGTGTTTTAGCCCTTAAATTCTTCCTTAAATTAAGAGATCAAGATCCAAATCTTCGATCACTGCATTAAATTGAAGGTTGACTAATGAACAGAAGAAATTCAAACCCAAATCTAATTAAATTATTACTCTAGGTATAGAATTCCCGTGGAGAAGACGGATCTGTGAAGAGGTCAATGATTTCAACTGAATTGTAATTGTTTATTTGTAAGAGATAAACTATATACTAAATTAGAAAATAGAAATATTCCCAGACGTAACAATTTTTGACTTAAAAATTATTATAAAAAAAAAAATAAAACAAACTTCTGAATATCGAATAAGGTCAAGAATTGCACGAGTGGACAGAGGTCAATCTAAAAATAATTTGGAACTGCACAAATAATACAAAGTGAATCCATAATTTTAAATAAAATTTATATATATGTTTACACCCATGGTCATTATAAACACATCAAGTGTACCATACAAATAAGTATGTAAACATAGTGCCACACCTCACATGTCTAACATAACCATCTAAATACATAACTGAGACAATCATCTCATATGTAAATAACATCATAACTCATGTAATGCAACTAAATGCATATGAATCTTTAACGTCTAGTCGATCGACTTTTCTTAGCCTCTTAAGCACTTCATCTCATCTAGCCTCAATTCATCTAAGCTCATATCATCGGAGGCATGCTAGTGTTATTTAGCATCTAAAGCAATATTTCATCTTTCCCTTTCATCTAACCTCAAATTCCATCTAGAGCTCAATCATCGGGAGGCGTGCTTTACACGTTATTTAGCATCTAAAGCTATATTCCATCTTTCCTTAACCATACGAGGATAGCTTTCCGTTAATTAGCATCTAAAGCATATGTTCATCTTCCTCCTCATCTAGCCTCAAATTCATCTAGAGCTCATATCATTGAGGGCATGCTTACCGGTTATTTAGCATCTAAAGCATATTATTCATTTTTCCTCAACCGTTACGAGGATATGCTTTACGCGTTTCCATCCTAGCTTGTATGCATCTCTAACCATTTTATAGCAGTAAATACATGTTTTAGTGAGCTTAATACTTTTGATTACATTACCTCTTGCTCATATTCATCATCTTGAAACATAATTACATTGCATCTTCTTGCCATTTCATAATATTATCATGCATTCGCATCCATGACCATGTATTTCTTTCAAAGATCAGCTAACTAATAGGTAAACATTAGTACATTACTTAATTGCAACAATACATTAATAACTTCATACTCATAAGAATTGATTATGTTAAACCCAACTTTATACCGAAGTTATTCCTTCAGACCATTTTCCATCCATTATCAAACGAATTGGCCCTTAGCATAAGCATAATTGTTATAGCTCTATATCTTAACTTTCTAATGCTTCAAGAATCATCTCATTTTGATTTTTATAACCTAAGTTATGGTCGAAATACTGAACATGTTTACCATAACCCCTAAAATTGCCAAATCCAAATTTTCAATATTAAACCGTGCCATATCAACTTCTATGACAATCAACAAATAAGTCCACTTATGGATCAATTAAAAACCTCCCCTTAATGCTTTAACATTTTAAAATATGTGATAAACCTCCATTCCCATGATCATCCTTATTGCTATAACATTGTAAATTAATGCAAACACGCATCACACTTCTATAGCAACCATTCAACACATGTGGCCTCCAATACTCCAAGTTTTGCCTAATCACAATCAATACTACTCATTTTCTTCAATTACACAACAACTCATAAAACCATAATGGCAATAACTTCATGTATATGAATTCAATGTATAATAACAATTAATGATTGTTAACTACCCTTGCCATCAACTAATTCTATGCCTTAAGCCTAATTTAAGGTTTCATTAAAATCTACAAACCCTAGCTAATTCCTAAAGTCATGGGAGGTTTTTCCTTACCTCTTTAAAGAATTCCCCCACCAAATCCTTTGCCTTTATCTTCTTTACACCTTAATCCTTAAACCCTTTCAATTTGAAGATCCAAGGCTCCTATCTTGTTCTCCTTGGAAAATGTATTCAAACCTCCTTTAAAACTTAGAGAGAGAAAGCTTTTTTCATGGAATATTTGAAGAAAATGGAAGAAAGGTTGAGAAATGTTATCCTCTTTGGGTTGAACAAATTTCCTCTCATTTATAGAAAAAATATTTCGTTAATTTTTTCAAAATTATGCTATTGGCCCAATTATTTTTATTGTATACTCATAAGTCCTTAATTCTTCAATAAGGTCATTTTGGTTATTTGGCACTAAACATAATTATTACTTAATTAATTTCATAAATGCAATGAGCTACTCATCCTTGACCTTTGCATGGCTAATCCTATGCAAAATGCTATTTTTACCCCTAATCCCTTTTTATTGATATTTGATACATATCATTCCGAATGAATGACTATTTTTTCCCTTTGTTAGATTTTATGTTTTTTTAACATAAAATCAACATCTAAAGGACTATTTTGAGTTAGGAACTACCTTTGACATCTTAGGTATACTTCAAGCTACGATCAATTTGCTAGGCGCCAAAACAAGAGAAAACTACTTTCACATGCCCATATGGAACATTCGCCTACCGAAGAATGCCTTTTGGCTTTGTGCAACGCTCCTTCAACTTTTCAACATTGCATAATTTCAAATTTCTCTAATATGGTTAAGAAGTCCATTGAGTTTTCACAGGGACGACTTTTTTGTTTTTGGTGATTCTTTTGATGATGTTTAACTAACCTATCTAATTTTTTGCAAAGATTGTGTTGATACTACCCTAGTGTAATTGGGAAAAGTGTCATTTTAGGGTACAAGATGAAATTTGTGTTAGTTTATCGCATATCCGCGAATGGAATTGAGGTAGATCAAGCAAGATTGAAGTTTAAGAAACTATCACCCTCCGAATTCAGTGAAGGCTGTCAAAGTTTACTTGTACATGTGGGTTTTTATAAAGATATCATACAGGACTTTTCTAAAATCTCTAAACCTCTGTGATTTATTAGCTAAGGATGTTCCTTTTAATTTAGTTAGAGTGTTTAGATGCATTTGAATGTTTAAAAGCAAAATTAATCTCTGCTCCTATTATTGTTGTCCCGATTGGGAACTACACTTTTGAACTCATGTGGATGAAAGTGATTATGCTATAGGGGCTGTTTTAGGATAGTGAAAAGGTAGACTTCCCATATGATTTATTAGCAAGTTAAACTCTAACAGACCACAATTAAACTATGCCACTACTAAAAAAAAGATTTTTAGCATGTAGTACTCTATTGATAATTTGTTTCTCATTTTGCTAGCACCAAAGTTATTGCATACATGACCATGTTGCATTGAAGTTTCCAAGCCAAGATTGTTGTGATGTTATTGCTCTTACAAAATTCGACTTGGAAATCAAGGACAATAAAGAACAAAAATCAAGTGGCTATCATCTATCTCGATTAGAGCCAATGAGAATTTCAAGAGGAAGAGAGACCAATCAACAAGTACTTTCCAAATGAGCAATTATTTTCCATTCAAGAAGGATCGTGGTTCACAGTATTGCTAATTATTGGCATAGAAAGTTATGTCCCTTGGAATGAACTCCAAAGACAAAAATTTTTTTTGCAGATTTAATACTATACTTTTGGGAGGAACCCATTTTGTACAAGCATTTGCGCCGTCAAATGAAAGAAGATTTGATAGAGGAAGAGATTATGATTGTCATTCAATGGAAGTTGGCGGCCATTTGTTTGTTCAACAAAGAACCGCTGCTAAAGTTCTCCAATTCAGGATTTTTTTTTCTGGCCCACTCTTTTTAAAGATGCTTTAAATTTTGTTATGATTGTGATGAATGTCAACAAGTTGGGAATATATCTAGGAGAATTTCATGCCTCTAAATAATTCCTAGAAGTAGAATTGTTTGATGTGTGAGACATAGATTTTATGGGACCTTTTCCTTCCTCCGTATTCTAAACGTTTTATTTTTTGGGTTGCTATAAATTATGTTTCCAAAGGGGTGAAAAGCTACAACTTGCCAACAAATGATGCTTCGAGGTTGTCAGTTTGTAAAGAAGAATACATTCTCAAGGTTTTGGCACCAAGGGCCATTATCAGTGATGGAGGTTCTCATTTTTTATACTACCAAGTTCGCCGACATTGTTAAGCAAATATGGGTTACCACGTTGCTAGCTGAGCCGTATAACCGTCAAACCAGTGGCAAGTTAAATGTCCAATAGGGAGCTGAAACTGATCTTGGAAAAGATTTAAGCCTTCTCAAAAGAAATTGGGAAACCAGCTTGATGATGCTTATGGGTGTATAGACAGCATTCAAAACACCCATAAGAAATTCGCCCTATAGGATGGTTTAGTTAAAAGCTTATCACTTCCAGTAAGTTTAAAACATAGGTCATATGGACAATGAAGTTTTTGAACTTCGCTCTACAAGCGGCAGGAGCACACGATTACTGCAACTCAATGAGGGAAGATTCCGGAATAATGCATATGAGAATGCCCAATCTACAAAGAAAAGGACTAACCATGGCTGACAACATGAGAAATGCCCGAATCTACAAAGAAAAGACTAAGCAATGGCATGACAAACATATCTGTGAACAGGATTCAAGGAGGGGACAAAATGTTATTTTTTAACTCAAGACTATGACTTTTCCCAGGAAATTACGCTCAGATGTCTAGACCATTCATTGTTCATCCACGTTTTTCCCGGCATGGGGCAATAGAGGTTCACCACCCGACAAAGGAACATTCAAAGTAAATGGCCAAGATTGAAACCTTATATTGAGAATGGAAATGAAGATGGAGAGGGTTTCATCTTCCCTCATTAAATCCTCATTGACGACAAATAGGAGTCAGCTTAAGACTTTAAACAAGTTCTCCTTGGAAGCACCCAGATTTTAATTTCGTTTTAATTTTAGTTCTTAAATTTTTAGTTTTTTTATTTTTTATTTACAATTTTTGTATTTTTTTTTTATTGATCAATTTTATTTCTTTTAGACTTAGAAATTGATTTTTTTTTTTTCGATAATAGTAGATCACATTCAGCATTACCTAGACCTACAAAATCACGTCGTTGCAACCAAAATTCCATCGCCGCACTTCAAAATCAAACGAGGAGAACAACACTCTCTGCGGTGACTTGTTATGTAGCTGTAGCGAGCGTTAATCAACGACCCACTCGATAAAGAAGTACGGTTGCCGCAGTGACTACACCACATCACCGCAACCAGCACACATTTTAAACACATTCGCATTTATTTGTGCGAATTTCTACAGAACCAACACTTCTAATTTTCTCGTCAAACTCTCCTTTACTCCCTTTTGCGTCTAACCACCCAGCCTTCATCTCACCTTCTTTCTTTTCCACTTGTATCTCCATTAATCTCTCACTACACCTCTCTATCAACTCAATTTGCAATTCTCCAAAAGTTCAAGGTTAAGGTTTCAAAATTAGGGTTTTTCGAATTGAGCCCATCACTACAAATTCAGGCAATTTTGCGTAGAAATCTGGTTCAGTAAATGATTTTTACTCCATTTTGCATACAATTGTTGATTATTGCGGGGTTGATTGAATTATTAGCTTTATGGGGAGCAATTGTTGTGATTGAGAAGTTGTGTGACTGAGATTGGGTGTTGTGATAAGAGGCCTAATTAAGTTTGTTTATAATTTGGGTGTTGTGATTGAAATTGTGCTGTGATTGTAGAATTTGATTGATTGAGTTGAATTGTTTTAGTGGGGGGTTTTTGTGACACCGCAAGAAAGCCAGGAGGGATAAGAAGAAAAAGGAAAAGGGCAAGCCTCCAATGATGTCCAATTTGTTAGTCAGACTGCCAAGGAGAGATATAGAAAATTTTGCAAAGAAAACAGAAGGGTTTTATTGAGAAGAGCTGGTGTTTACAGAAAAATTTAGGGGGATTTACGATATCATTCTAGCTTGGGTTGCACATTCTGCAAAGACCTCGGCTTCTACTATTGCCTCTATAGTAACAATTTTTATGCCAACCTTGCTATAACATTGACGGAAGGACAATCGGTGAGAGGTAAGAAGTAATTTTTATGCAGCCACCCATAAATGAGTTTTTAGGAGCTGCTGCAGTTAAGTAGATGAGATGCCTACGTAACATAGAAGCAAAAGTAATTATGATCCAATGATTATTTTCTGACGGAAGGGAAAGCTACATGGTTTATTTACACGCTAGGGAACCATCCGTTTTGAAAGTAATTTTTTGGACTCAATTTTGTTAAGCACGTTAGCAAGTTCGGGCATTTTGATGTACGCTATCCCCCACAAGATAAGGATGATGTGGGCGAGATTATTTTTCATGAATTCTCCATTCGACAAAGCGTATAAGACAAGTTTTTACTTCCCTCCATTGATCACCGAATTATGTAAGCCCGCCTCTGGGCTTTTTGAATTTTTGAAAAGTGTTTAATCCCACAAGGACGTGTCCTTACAAGCAATTTCTGTAAGATTCACTAGCGGGAGCAAAGTGAAAGGATCCAAGACCAAAGCTCTTCATCGAAGAAGCCTCCACAAGAAGATCAATTGATGAAGATGAATGAGGATATAGATAAGTTTTGAGAAGTAATAGAATCGTCAAGACAGCCTGGAGACTTGGATGAGTGGGCAAATGAGGTGCAATATGATGCAAACGATTGCAACGTGATCATGTTGAATAGTTGCGCCAGAGTGTGAATGGACTGATTTTGCGTATCCATCGGATGAGGGGGATGGCGACACTTCTCATGAGATTCTGATGAGAGTACGGAGGAGTAATGGTGGTTCACTGCCTAGATACCTAGAGTTTTATTTTGTTGTGTGTTGTTTTGTGTTTATTTTCAATGTTAGTTTGTTTCCTTTTTCTGTACTTGCATTTTATTGATGTTTGTGTTAGTTCTATTCTTGTGAATTGTTTAAACTTTATTTCAGTATTTTTTATGGTTGTTGATGTTCTTTAACCTGTTATTTTTTCTGCATAACAATAGTGCCCGACAAGTCCTTTTTAGTTGTGATTTTGATAGAACAATTTTGGCACACATGACACAACGAATTGGACCATTTGCACCATTAGGACTGGGCACGTTTTTCTTTCTTTTCCCTCCTTCTCTTAACATTGAGGACATGTTGTTTTAATTTGGGGGTAGAAATCTAACTTTTTTAGTAGAATTTTGTTTCTCTTGGATTAATTTATATGTCCTTATGCTATAGAATATATTGCCAATAACATTAACAAATAAGGACATTAAATTTTGCCTTTAATTACAGATGATGTGAATGTTCTAACCTTTAGTTTAATACCCTAGCGGTTTGTTGATTGGAAATGAATAAGTTGACTCACTTAGAGACGTTTTTATGTGTGAAGTTTTCATGGACTTTTTTTGCGATCTCAATAAACTCTATACTCATTTTGACAAACCACTCGAGGTGAAATCCTAGAGTTCACATTGCCTAGGAAATGATTTAGGCTGTATTTTTTGGACTGATTGAGCCTTTTCAAGCCAACCCTTTTTATTATCTTCGCTAGTTAAACCCTTTGAGCCTTTTTAATTTAGACTTGTTTTTCTTTTCTTTGAACTTAATTTTTACCCAACCTGATTATGAGTCCTAAAAACACAATTCTACTTTGTTTTATCTTTAAGAGCACTTAATTGTAATTCCAAGCTTATTACGAGTGTTGTGTGAGATGTAGTTCTGCTACAACCCAAGTTCATGCAAGAAATATGTTGTTTTGTTTGGAGTGCTTGTAAGATCAATGGGGTTGTGTGTGTGTGTGTTGTGTGTTCTACTTTTCTTCTTCATTATTATTGTTGTGAAAAAAACTAAAAAAAAAAGAAAAAAAAAAAAGTGGGCATTGAAAAGCATTGTGACGGTGTGAGATTATGCAAATGGGTATAACATTATGTTTGAAAAGAAAAGCTCGATAAGGTTGTGGAAGCTACTAAGTGAAAACGGGAAGTGTTTTTGTATGATATAATAAGAATGAATGAAAGATTAAGTCTCTTAATTGATTTTTGGTTAAATTCCCTTTTCGTGTCTTTTTCATGAACCCCATACCTTGGCCTAATGTTACAATCTTTACAAAGCCCCTATTGATCTAAGAAGTGTGAAGTTCTACATTATGGAGATGGTTTGAAAAGTGAGCCTGTATAGTTTGATTCCATGATTCACCTGTAAGTCATAACCCGAATACTGAGATCAAATTTTGTCATGAATGTTATGCTAAAAACCATCTGGTTTGTAGACATAATGGTTGTGGTTGTTGAATATTCTAGGGTTGATAACCAACAAATGGAATTGACTTTGCATTGTTTTGGAGCTTAGGCGATTTCTAATTATTCTATTTGTTTTGTGTATATATGCGATTTTTAAGACACGTTTATGAATTGATCCAAGAATTTTTGTTACTTTTTGTTCTTTATGTCTTATTTTATATTTTTGGAGTCTAGGTTAGGTTTTAGTGTGGATGTTTATGGGTGTCATCCGCTGGACCTCACAGATACAACTCGTCCACTAGCCGCCTAGGGGTTTAAAAGCCAATATGTGTGCATACGCAAAATACATCGTGTCAATCTACGAAAATGATTTAGATAGGTTTAGATATAGGTTTATTTGGTTGTTTTATTTCAAGCTTAGAGACCTTGTTTTATCGCTTAGTTTGCTAGGGACTAGCAAAGAAGCTGGTTGAGGTTGTGAAAGAGCTTGAATACAATATTTTGTTAGTGATTCAATTGGATTATTTTGTGAAAAATGCGTTTTTATTGTAGAATTTTAGTTAATTTCATAAATACCTTTTATGGATCACGGGGTGTATTTTGAGTCTTTTAGGTAAAACCGGATATTTGAATAAAAGAAGAATGATGTAGATAGAATTCGTGACAAGCAGGAACAAACAGTGCAAGAATCGGAATGGAAAGAAAGTTGTTACACTGGAAGTGAGATTTAAAACCTGTGGAATTTGTCAAGATAGCATGTCTCGATGTTTTTTATCATAACATTAGCTATATAATCAAAATTCAATGATTCTTGTGATGTTTGGAAAGCTTATTTAGAGAGCTAACAAAGTTTCATGTTGATGACTGTCGCCAATTATAGCTTCCGGGATGACTCGTGGGACAGAAAGGATGATCGTCACAGAGCGACCGTTTTTCTATTGCCCGCAGCGATGGATTGCGGGCTTGTTTGGGTTATTTTATTTTCCTAGTTCGAATTTGATGGTTTCGGCATTTAATTCTTCTAATAACCTCCAAACCCTAACACTAATACGGGTCTTTAATTACTTTTTTAGGGAGATCAGAGAAGGAGAAAAGAGCAAACTACTATTTTTGGAGATCATATTCCTTGCAGTTTTTTTGTTCATCAATTAGAAAAAGTTTTTCTATTTTTCTTTCATTGCACTCATGTTTGTTAATACAGTTTGTTTTTTATTACTACAATTATGAACTAAATATCTTTTCTCTAGGCTAAAGATGTATCCCAATTTATGAAGATTGTTGACTTTATTGTTGTTAATTTTATTGAGCATTAATTCTAGTTTTATTATTGTATTAATATATTCATTCTTAAAAGCCCAAGAGTTCATTGATTTTATGGGTTTGGGTTAATCGAGAGTAAAACCTGATAGTCTAAGGTAATAAATCATAGATTGAGCGAACGCTAGAGATAGGTTACCGTGCTCTGTGAGACTCTGTAAATCTATAAAACTTAATGATCTCTAGCTTCCTAAATCAACTTTAGAATATTTTGGATTGTGTTTTTAACGGTTAATTTCGCTAATTGTTCGAGAGAAGTTAGTGAAATATTAGGGAGTTTGGCCTTTAGAATAAATTTAAATTAGTGTTAGCAATAATTGTGCAATATAAACGATTATATTGGGGAGAAATTTAGCCCTATGTTTGTCTTATTGATCTTTTAACCACAAATATATTAATACCATTCTATTTTTGTCTACTTTTTAGTTTGTTTTATTTTTCAATTATTTATTTTAAAACTCTAGACTAGTTTAGTACTTGATAAGTATTTTATTAGGATTTTGACAACTCGTTTACTCGAGCTTTACTATTTACTCGATTTCGTATACTTGCGAATAGCTTGTCAGTTATAAAAATAAATTCTTTTGATACATATCATATTCCTCATTATGATTTAAAGTTTTAAAAAGCTTTTAACCCATATACTTACTAACTTGGGTGATATTTTGATAATCATTTTTTTCAAAATAATTTTATATATGCGTAAAATGATTAATATCTAACCTCGATCTAAGTTAATTATACAAATTCACATTTAACCAAACCTTAATTGTGTCTATGGCTATTTAAGAAATATATTGTATGAATTGATAATTAAAATTATAATATATATCATTTATAGACACTTT